AAAATACTGAAATTAATGAAATTAAAATTCCTTCAAATGTTAACGACACTTTAACAAACGCATGCGATATTTCTAATCATTTTAATAAATATTTTTCACAAATTGGAGCAAAGCTTGCTGCTGAAGTTCCAGATTATAATGTTGATCCGACAAAATATTTGAAAAAAGCTAATTCGTCTTTTGCTTTTGTCGAAATAGAACCCGAAGAAGTTTTAAAATTATTGAAGAAGCTCGACATTTCTAAGGCCACTGGTCTAGATAATATTTCGAACAAGATATTAAAAATCGCAGCACCTTGTATTTATAGACATCTTGCCAGCCTATTTAATTTATCCATTAAGCATAATGTTTTTCCAAATGAGTGGAAATCAGCAAAGGTTTTTCCTATTTTTAAATCCGGTGAACGCAGTGACTCAAATAATTATAGACCAATATCTGTTTTGCTTGGTATTTCTACGTTATTTGAGAGATTGGTCTATAATCAGATTTATGCATATCTAATGAAATTTGATCTAATTAATTCAAGGCAATTCGGTTTTAGGTCACTGCATTCAACTGTAACTGCATTACTGGATTTAACTAACCAGTGGTATTATAATATTGATAGAGGTATGATCAATGGTGTCTTATTTTTAGATTTAAAAAAAGCTTTTGACACTGTTGATCATAATATATTATTAACCAAATTAAGTTTTCTTGGAATCTGTGATAAAACATTACATTGGTTTAAATCATATTTTACTGATAGAACTCAACAATGTTATGTTAATGGTTATTTATCTGGTAAAGTGCAGGTCACAAGTGGAGTTCCCCAAGGTTCAGTTCTAGGTCCTTTATTATTTCTTATTTATATAAATGATTTGACGACTTCTGTTAATCATGGTACTGCCCGAATGTATGCAGATGATACTAACGTATCATTCTCAGCATGTGTTTTTTCTGAACTTCAACGGCAGATGAAAAAAGACCTGGAACATTTAGAATCCTGGCTTATAGCCAACAAACTTACTTTAAATACAGTGGAAACTGAATATATGGTTGTTGGTTCAAAACAAAGAATAAATTCACTTGTGGGTAATCTGACACTTTCCCTTAATGATATATCTCTACGTAAAGTTAAGAGTACTAAGTGCTTAGGAGTGACAATAGACGAATTTCTCACATGGGCTGAGCACATAGATAATGTAATTAAAAAATTAGCGATCGGCGTTAGTCTTCTACGTAGAAATAGAAAAGTCTTGAAAAAGTGCGATCTTATGAATGTATATAGAGCTATTATAGAACCTTATTTTGATTACTGTTGTATCATTTGGGATGGCATCAGTGAATATTTGGCGTTAAAGCTTCAAAAACAAAATCGTGCAGCACGTATTATTACTGGAGCCGACTATTCGCGAAGGTCCAGTGATATATTAAACGAATTAGGATGGCAGAAGTTGAGTGAACGAAGACAAAAATGGAAAGCAGTGATGATGCATAAAAATATTAAACCATAAAGCACCGTCATGTTTCTTAGGTTTATTTAGACCAGAAACTGGTGCCAATTTTTATGATCTTCGTTCTTCAACAGAGAATGTCGAACTTCCACTAATTCGAACTGAATATTACAAGAGAAGTTTTGTTTACTCCGGCGCAAAAGTGTGGAACTCTCTTCCTGAAGTTTTGAAAAAAGAGAGTTCATTAAAGCGGTTCAAAGATCTTTTAAAAAATATCCATTTTTCCGCTGATCATTAATTAATTAAATTAATATATATTGCAAACTATAATATACGGCTTACAGGTAGAACAAAACTGTATATGATTTTGATGTAACCACCGTATTGAAATAAAATTTTTAATAATAATAATAATAATAATAATATATATATATATATATATATATATATATATATATATATATATATATATATATATATATATATATATATATATATATATATATATATATAGCTTCTTTGGGTACTTATAATGTAAAATAATGAAAAAAATTTCTCGAACTGAAATTTTGTGAACCAGGGGGGTGTGTCTTTTCCAACAAACTAAAAATGGCTCGCGCACAAAATTTAAAAGTTGTAATCATATTTTGAGTTAATAGATGGAAAATTTGTCGGGTTTTTAATTACTGTACAAAATTTCAGACAATTTGGTTTAGTTTAAGTCCTTTAACTATTCATTTTGTTCTAAAAAGTCAGCCTTTCGCATGCTTAATTAATGCCTTTACCTAATTTGCATATTGCTGACATATGCAAATTAGGCAAATGCATTAATTAAGCATGCAAATCGCTGATTTTTCGGGAAAATTGTAACTTTGCGTGAATAGTTAAGGGGCCTAAACTAAACCAAATTGTCTGAAATTTTGTACAGTAATTAAAATCCCGACAAATTTTCCATCTGTTAACTCAAAATATGATTGCAGCTTTTAAATTTTGTGCGCGAGCCATTTTTAGTTTGTTGGAAAAGACACCCGCCCCTGGTTCACATTATTTTACATTATAAGTACCCAAAGAAGCTATATATATAAAAAACAGATACAAATAGCTGTTTTGCAAAATTGAGAGCAATTTTAAATCTGTTCAGTTTTTTTTTATACACCCTGTATAGGGGCCTAAACATATATATTATTAAATATTACTATTAAATTGTTCCAAACTATGCTGGCTACTGAAATCATGTATCCGAAGTTGATTTATATCTCAAATGAAATGGCACCCATGGTAAAAATCTTGTGTTGGAATTATACCTATTAACCCTGTACGTTTTAATTTGGTACAGGTGTTTATTATAGTTATCGGTATCGTACCAAAACTTGCGCGTGAATGTAAACCACAGGACTATTGCCACGGAATGCGTATGCGGAAAAATGCCTCTCTATTATTTTAAAGTAAAGTGTTTTTCCTTTAGGCTATAACATCTAACAGCTCTGATGAAAATCAGCAAGTATATTATGATTGTTGGTACAAGTTAAAGGTATGTTCAATCAGTCAATTGGAATAAGCATCTGTGCATCATGCATTTCTCCTCTTTCTCCACATGTTTATAGTTGGAAATATATTTTACGTTATCATTGAATATCGCGGGCAACGGATACAAGAAGCAACCAATAAGTTACCCTTTGATTTAAATAAGGAGATATATATCTACCAATCATGCTTTTACAATGAAAGGTGTTCTTTTATCCAAAGTTTATTCCAGACTGTTTGAATTTTATAGATGGCAGCAACGGAGGATTACTTCTTGCCAACAAAAGTTGAAGGAGAAAGAATCTGGATATTCCACGTACCTAGTAAGCTTATTAAACCTGATTTTCAATTGGTCCCCGCTGATGTAAACCAGTCGCAGCTAATGATGCAAAATAGTCGAATCTATACCGAGGGGTGGAGTACGTGTTTTTGAGAATTTCGAAAATCACGTGGAATTCTGTTTTAATTTTTTTATTTTTTTGAGATTTTTTTTTATTTGTCCAGATTTATAGGGATTGCCAGAAATTTGTCAGGGATTTCATCTGGATTTTCGGAGATTTTTTGCCTCGATGAATACTAGTACTGTGCCCAAAACGATTGAGAAAGATGTTTTACAGCTTGCATGTATCAGCCACCTTAAAAGGGTCAAAAGGAAAAAATAAATTCGAGCAGAAGCATAACTCGAAAATTATCGCTTTTTTAAAATAAAATGATCAGAAACTCGTTTGCAGTACAAAAATCTAGCCAGTTTGGCAACAAAGGCCTAGCCGGAAAAAGCTTATTAATTCATACGAGCTAATATCATAGTAATTGCCTAGTTATCCACGAGTCAACGGCGCCGAGCGCCGTTCTGGGAGTAAGTCCGGGGCGAGGGTACGAATTCTACCTGGATATTTACAGCTCGGGAAAGCATTAGCGAAGTCTAAGTGGTGTCGACGTTCATGCATGGTGTATGGGTGGACCTCCTCACTTATCTCAAAAATACGACTGCTTACCAGGAGTGGGATAAGCAAGATTTCAATTTTCAAAAACATATATTTGGAAAATCCTTTCATATACAACGAGCTTTGAAGCAATTTTTGTTTGAAGAAATGGGAAGAATTGATTTACTATGGGAAATCGTGAAATATGGGGCAAGTTGGCTTTGAATGTTTAATGTTCACGAATTTTTGTAATTTTGTTGCTTAGAACACACATTGCTTTCCTTTTCAATGTAACTATAAGAAAAAACTTTTACTAAAAATTATTAAATAATTACTAAAATTACTAAATTTATTCGATAATCTGAACATTTTGTTTTATTAAGTTAAAAATCCGCAAAAGCAGTTTAACTGAATGAACATTTCAAAACAGTCTACGAAGTGATATTTTCTGTGTTGGTGTAATGTACTCAGGTGAATAAAACGCTTGTGATGTTACTCTGAGTATATATCCACACCGGGCAGGCTTGAAAAATATGCCCGGCCACGGTGGGAATCGAACCTACGACCTTTGGAATAGTAGCCCAATGCTCTGCCAACTGAGCTACGCGGTCAGGTCGGTTCGAGTATGTGATATTAACTAAGTCTAGTTCCTTCGATATCTATGTTCCTTCGAATGTAATCTAGTAATATACACTCAGGGTAACATCACAAGCACCAGTCTACGAAGTGTTTTCTGTGACGTAGCCAGAGGGGGAGCCTCCCCCCGCCCGCCAAAATATTGGGCCCCCTTTGATCTGTACAAGCATGTGCATTGTATTTTCATTTCTTGTAATGGGAATTTTATACGCCCTATGTTTTAAATATTTTGCATTCGTTTGTGAAGTAGAATTTTTATGTTTTAAATGGTTATTTAAAATCACTATAACCCATTACAATAGCCCTAAATGTTGAAAATGACACCTTACCAACCTAAGAACTTAAAAACATTCCCGGGGGAGCATATTCCATGACCATCTCCCCTGAAAGTAGTCATCGTAATATATTGTGCATGCATGGTATCGTGGGAATCCAAATACATTTTCACATAACAAACCACCTTCATTTGAACTGGCGCGGAGTAAAATGGCTTGGGCCCCACCTGGCATTTTTTTGGCCCCCCTTGACTAGAAATTCTGGTTACGTCACTGAGCGTTTTAGATTACATTTTGCACTAAATCAAAGCTCACGAAATGCAAAATAACATACCTACAGTGTGGATTTCGGAAATTGATTCTTGCGTAGTTAAAAACACTAATCTTTCTCCTATTTTTGTCATTGTGCACAAAAAACTATACAATATTTAAAAATTAAAAAAATAATCGCGTTGCATATGGCAACATACAACGTCAGCCTGCGTTCAGTGTTGGTCAATTACTGATACTTCATGTTAAATTAACGTTTGGAAAATATGGGGGAGGGGTTGCTGCATGGATTTCTAGTAAAATACTGTTCTTTACTTTTTCTTAAGTTTTCAGACGAATTGAAGACCCTCTAGAATGGAAATACAGTAAAATTCGGTTGGAGGCCCGCGCAGCGCACTGATCATGTTTACTCGGTCACGTTTTCTTGTGTACTTGGGTCCATTATTTTCTGCTTATGTACCGTCATTCTACGTCGTAAGGTGTCTGTTGTCTCCCCAATGTAATTCTCTCTCTAGCCGCCACAGCATGTATATTAATTAATACGTAAATCACGTTATTTGCTGCACAATTCATCGTGTGTTTAATGCTGAAGTTTCTCTGTATTTGAAAAGGCGACGAGATAAGATTTGGCTGCATAATCCACATCCCTTGCTTTTGCAGCATTTGACGTCTGGATGCTCGTCCACTTTAGGAATGAAGCGGGAGTTAATCACTGAATACTGAGTATCTGTTTCAGATTTTGGGTTGTGGATGACTTGTTCTTTTTCGAAATTGGATTTCATTTTGAGACTTGCTTTAATTTGTTGAAAAAGCAAGAAATAGATAATGTGGCGAAATATTTTTCGTCCCCTCCCCGTCCAGTCCACAAAGATTTTGGAGTGTAGCACGAAAAATTGACCGATACTTACGAAAATAAGATTTAATAAGATTTCAGTTGGGCAACAGATTACAGCTAAATGTGGAAGTCAGACGATCAAAAGATTACCTGTAGGTTGAGCCAGCATGCAGTATGCAATTTTATAGCAAGCGGCAGTTTGGATATAAACAAAAAACAATAAGTGCTAGTTAAAACATGAGCAGCCGATCTTTATCTAATATACAAACTCGAGCCGAAGGCGAGAGTTGAGTTGTATATTAGATGAAGATCGCTGCGAATTTCTGGAAGCTTTTTGTCCAAAACCAACGGTTCTTTTCATTTTTGTCAGGTATAAATTAAGTAGGTATAAGTTTGTAATATTTTATGTTATTATTGTTAATATGGTTCAAATTGGTTTCATTGCTCTTTTTTCTGAAAACTGACCATTTTGCGTGACAGAATGTTATATCTAATTTCAGAATGTATACGCATCAATGATGATGACATTTGCGGATGCCCTCCATGTAAGTATAAACTGTATGATACAATTTAATAAGACAATTGTGAAATCATTATGTGTCTTTCGCGTAAAATTTAAGACAACAATAGTGCCATACAGTACCATTCCGTGATTATTCCATGCATTGTCTCTCCGTTGTTTTGGTCGTAATTAATTAATGTCCTCTAAACTGTTAACAGTTTATACGATTTATCTGCCCAATAAAGTAGATTTCCAGATTTGCAAGAAAAATTTGGTAATTGATAAAACTAGAATAGTGCGAATAGTCCACGAATAGTCAACGTATTAAATAGTACGAATAGTGCGCGAATGGTCGACGAACAGGGCATTAGAATTAGACTTTGCGAGGCTTTGCACCAGTGCTGTAGAATTAAATTTACCGGATCCGCAGGGGGGACTCTATAGACAACATTTGTTGACGTTAATGACGTCATACGTAACCGGTAAGCCATATGAGTCATGAATTTTACTGATGGAATTTTATACGAATTTTACTTATAAGTTTTGACGTTGTAATTGAGATTTAAGAGTTAAGGACTTAAATGATTTCGTGTGCTTGGAAAACGTGATTTACATCAGTGTTTTCCACTAGGCGAATTTGTTCGCGCAAAGCGATAAGTAAAAGAGTAGGAACTGATCCAAATTTTTCTGGAGAATTTTTTCGCGGACCAATCACATTGCCGAAATTTGGTTTTCGCTTCGCGCGAACAAATTTGCGCCTAGTGGAAAACAAGCTTAAATAATATCTTCTCTTGTTTCGTGATGTAAATCACGTTTTCCAAGCACACAAAATCACTTAGTTAACTCTTAAATCTTAATTACAACGTCACAACTTACAAGTAAAATTCGTATAAAATTTCCTCAGTGAAATTCATCATTCATACGGCTTACCTGTTACGTATGACGTCATTGACGTCAACGAATCTTTTCACGATTTCATGTTCGTCAGTAGAGCCCCCCACCCCCCACCCCGGTAACTTTAGTTCTACAGCACTGGTGCAAAGCAGTGGTGCAAAGCCTTG